ATATATTTGTAAAAAATGTGAAAAAGCACATATGCAATGAATTTGTAAAGTATTTTGAAATGAATTAATAGGTCAAATGAATGTGTTTGTATATGTATACCATGTATAATTATGAGTTTATATTTTACACTACCACACACAAGTTTGGGGTCAGTAAGATTTTTTAAAAAATGTTTTTGAATACGTCTTTGCTCACCAAGGTTGCATTAACATTTTCTATTTCAATATATTTTTAAATGTAATTTATTCCTATGATGCAAAGTTGAATTTTCAGCATCATTACGGCAGTCTTCAGTGTCACATGATTCTTCAGAAATCATTCGAATATGCTGATTTGCTGCTCCAGAAACAGTATCAGTATTTAAAAAATGGTTGTGCTGCTTTTTAACATTGAAAATGACTTTAGTGCTATTTTTGATCAATTGAATTCATCCTTGCAGGAAGAAGAAGAAAAAAGCACTGATTCCAAACTTTTGAACAGCAGTGTATATCTAGACATTCACACATTGATCCTGAGCTTCTTTTTCCACTTCTTTCATAACATTTAAGATAACCCACATTTGAAGTCAGTCCTTTCAATTGTCAGCAACATCCAAAACAACAGATAAAAAACAAAAGACATGTGAAAGGCTGACTGATGGCTGAATGGAGTTACATCAGACAGACCACAAGCTTCATTAACTCTTCATTCTCATGAAAGAAATTGAAGTAATGGGGAGAACAGAATGAGATGAATATATCACCTTCAAAACAGCTCAAACAACCCAAACTTACACAGTGTGTGGCGCAAAGTGCAGAATTCTGAAAGAGCCATTTAATTTCCCCAGTGCAAATAGTCATACGGCGAGTGAGTCACTGGAATAATGGACATAATTGAAGCTTAACAGACAGAGGAAAGCTTAATGGGGGGATATTTTCCCCTAACAGTCAACGCGGCAAGAAATTAAACTTTTTTTCTTGCTCCGGCTGACAGTAAAGCTGTCTTTTGAGACGTCTGCCGATTATTCAGAATAAGTACTTTGAAAGTTTAAAACTTTGACGTGTAATATTCTTCCTTTAGTTTGATGTATTAAACAAGAGCAGCGGGGTACCACAAATCTTGGGGGTCCAACTTAAAACTATAAGACAGGATACCCTTTTATCCTTTTCTGTGCTGATTTTCCATTCAACTTTGTAGATTTCTGTCCTTTAGAAAGTGTCATCTGGTGGGAAAACATTGACAGAATGGACGGAGAGACAGATAGATGTTGTGATGGGTCAGACCCCTGCCACTGACAGGTGTCCCGTACGATACGGAACAAAAGGAGATTCCTCTGAATATAATGCCCTGTAATTGCACGAGATGTTCTGTTGGGCTCGAATGTATGCGAGCAATTAGAAAAGCATTTACAGTTTGCTTTGCCAACTCAACAGCTTGCATCCCATCGTTATCCAAACCCACTGCCTCGTGCCAAACCACACAGCCCTACAGGCACACAAAATCCGAAACCTCATCCTTGGCTAGAGAATACTCCTTCACAGCCTTCCCGCTGGGACACGGAAGTTCTGTAGCCTACAGCATATGCTCTGGGATGTTTTATTACTTAGTATTATGGCATCTACCCTGCTACTTCTCTTCTTTGCCCTGGTCAGCACATAGTTTGGGAAGAATCAGCAGTCTCTTGATGTTCCAGTAAGCTTTCATCCTGCTGTTTTTTGGTTAATTTGCTCTGGCGAATGTACAGGACCCAAATCACTAGACTCTGAAAATATCAGTATTTGGCAAGACAATCAAATGCCCTGAGAGATAGGAAAAATATTGGAGGGGTAAGGTGGAGTATTCATGATTCATTAGAGAAGACCAGTATGCAGGGCTTTGACATTTAATTGGCCACTGCTGTGTGTGACGAGTGCAGAAATTGTTTTCTACACACAAAAACAATCCAAACACTGTTTTTGTACCTACAACAATCACACATCTTAATAATGAAAAGGTACAAATATTTCAAAGCACACAAAATCTTTGAATGGGCATGACTGCATGCACTAATCTATACACTGTTTACATTAGATTTGTCTGTGGTCCAATCAATGCATTTATTGTTTGCTAGTCAAAAAACATCTAAATATCCAAAGGTGTCAATGATTGTCTTCTGGACAACTGTCTGATCAGCAGTCTTCCCCATGATTGTGTAGCCTAGTGAACCAAACTGAGAGGCCATTTTGAAGGCTCAGGAAACCTTTGCAGGTGTTTTGTGTTGATTAGCTGATTGGCATGTCACCATATTCTCATTTGTTGAGATAGTGAATTGGTGGGTTTTTGTTAAATGTGAGCCAAAATCATCCCAATTAAAAGAACCAAAGACTTAAACTACTTCAGTCTGTGTGCATTGAATTTATTTAATACACGAGTTTCACAATTTGAGTTGAATTACTGAAATAAATGAACTTTTCCACGACATTCTAATTTATTGAGATGCACCTGTACATTTATTTGAGAAGCAAGACTTGTTTACAGAGAATATATCTTGCATGATGTCTATTTTTCTCTCCCAAGTGGAATTTTCTTTTATTTCAAGCACAAATCTAACAATTTAATGAGGTTTGTGCTTGGAAGAAAAAAAAAAGATAAGCAACCTGGCAATGGGGCGAGAAAAATAAACTTAATAAAGATATATTCTCTCAATACAATTTAGCTTTGAATTTAATAAATGTATCTTGTTTAGATATTTGCATTGGAATGCAAGAGGAAAATACTGAAAAAAAACAAACAATATTTACATATTTTTTTTTGTCGGATGCTCATTCAAATCTGATTTATTTCTCTACACTCTACTCTTGTTTTGAGAGGAAAGAAGGAAATAAAGACTGGAGAAAGCATAAGAGGATAGTGCAGTCAAGGATCTCCCAACCCCACAATGAAAGCTTTCCATCAAAGTTCATCAGCTTTTTTGTCTCCTCGTCTACCTTTTTTTCTGACAAGTAAACATATTCTTTTTTTATTATTATTATTTCAATTCTCTCAAAGCTCCTGAAAATAAGCACAAACATTACGGTGTAAGTGCCTACCATTGTGAAAACCATTAGGGCCTATTTAATACACTGCTGATAATTAGAACACATAATTATCCAATCATCTCACCAATTACCAACTTTCTACAGTTTAATCTTCAAAGTTTCAATTGAGGTGAACAAACCAACCATTTTCTAAAGCCACATACATGATTGATAGTAAAAAAAAAATAATTAGACAAATACCCTGCAGAGCGTGTTACACAAATGCAGAAAAATTTTATTCAAACTATTTAAACAACAAAGATTAATGAATTTCAGAGGGGTTTTGCAATCAGGTATTGTGGTGTCTTCTGTGAAACTTTGATTTGCAGAACAATCATCTACCCCAGTGTTTCTCAACCCTGGTCCTGGGCGCCCCCCAACACTGCACATTTTGTATGTCTCCCTTATCTGACACATCCATTTCAGGTCCTGAATTTCTTTTAATGAGCTAATGAGTTGAATCAGGTGTGTTTGATCAGGGAGACACACAAAAGTGCCGGGGTGGGAGTGCCCAGGACCAGGGTTAAGAAACAGTGATCTACCCTAACCATACTCTCTGCCTCTTGTACACTGATTGACCCAAGTAGTCAATATCATCATCTAACGACTGAGATTTAATTTGAGAGGGCATTTAGAGGTTTGATTTCTCAGTCAGGATTACCTATATGCCTTCTAAATGACAGAGAAAGAGTTTGAAGAGATTTTCTGCACATGAATGCTGTGGTTAGGGTGACGTACTGCATTCATAAGGTTGCCAGGCCTTTGCGAACTTGACAAAATTCAACACAGAGTCACTTAGATGATATGCAGCTGTAAGTGAACAATGTTTTAAAATCTTTCCTATGATATCAACTAGTTTTAAACCATTTGATATGATGGTCCATTAGTTCAACTGACACATTCAAACTGTTATAATTTTTCATCTAAAGTCATCTTTAGAAATCTAAAGCTCTCTCAGTTGATTTTTTACCTTATCCAGGAATTAAACCTAATGTATCAGCCAGCAGAACAGTAATGATCATTCCAAATGAGCAACAACTCATGTTGTACTGTTTCTGTTTCAAAATGAATCATGATTTAAGAAACACAGTTCTCAGTTCTAAATCAGATTTTACATGCACAATATAATATGGACGTTTCATTCATTAGTGGCCATTACTAGTCCATTAGTGCTGGACATAATTTCCGAGAATCATATCTTGCTTATTATGCCGAACAAAACAGCTAAACAACGCACACATTAGGATGTGCTGTTCTTATGATTCAGAATTCTCATCCATTCAGAGCTTACAAAAACATCTTTAAACAACTAAAGATAATCGCGCATGCAAACAGTCAGCACTAATGATTTAAAAAATACTGGCTCTTTAATACTAAAAACTAAATTTTATTACACTAGCGTTCAAAAGTTTGTTTTGTTTTTGAAACAAAGTATCTTATGCTCACCAAGGCTGCGCTTATTTGATAAAAAAATAAGTAAAAACAGTAATATTGCGAAATATTATTACAATTTAAAATAACTGTTTAATATTTTGATATGTAATTTACTGCTGCGATGGCATTGAGTCTTCAGTGTCACATGAGCCTTCAGAAATCATTTTAATATGCTGATTTGCTGCTCAAGAAATGTGTCTTATTAAAAAACTATTTATGTTTGTTGAAAAAAAATATTAAACTGCTTAATACTTTTGTGGAAAGTGATTCTTTTTTAGGATTCTTTGATGAATAGAAAGTTTAACAGAACAGCATTAATTTAAGACTTATAATTATTATTTTTGTTAATTTAATCTATTTAATGCATCCTTGCTGAATAAAAGAAAAAAAAAACAATCTTTCAAAAGTGTGTAGTTCACAAAAACAGCTTCAACAACTCACTTAAATAAAGAAAGGCATCAGTTGCAGTGAAAGTTAGCGCATAGACAACGATGGACAATATACTATAACACATCATGTTGGTTCTATACCTTTGTAGAAGCATTCCTCGCTGTGCATGATGGTTATTCTCTGATGGGCCATACAGGAGGCTTTGTGAAGCTCACAGTGGTTCTGGTAGAGTTTGCCGTCAGATCCGCACACAGGTTTGTAATGTGGTTTGCAGCGCTCCAGACACTGACATTCTCCTTCACCTGTTTCTCGATCAACCACACAGTGCTTCCCCAAACCACAGTACTTATGTTCACAGGGCCCAGGAAAACCATTCTGACCAAAGAACCCTGCAAAGACACATCAAAGAGAGGGGAAATCATGTTCATTTGAAACATTATGCAATTGTGATGAAGCATACTATGCTAATTCATTTATTAATGTGCATGCTTTTGTGTGTATATATTAGTGCTGCCAAACGATTAATCGTGATTAATCGCATCCAAAATAAAATAAAAGTTTTTGTTTACCCAATATGTGTATTTACTGTGTATATTTATTTTGTATATATAAAGAAACACACATACAGTATATATTTAGAAAACGTTTAAATGTATTTTTTATGTTTATATTTATATTCAAATAATTTATATTATATAAAAATATATTTAATATATAAATATAAAATTTTTCTTAAATATATACATGCATGTGTTTGTATTTATATATACATAATTTTTTTAATCGTTTGACAGTACTAATATATGTAAATATATATACAGGTGCATCTCAAAAAATTTTAATATCATGAAAAAGTTATTTTTTTTGTAACTTATTTCAAAAAGTGAAACTTTCATATATTCTAGATTCATTACATGTAAAGTAAAACATTTTAAATGTTATTTTGTTTTAATGTTGATGATTAGAGCTTACAGCTCATGAAAGTCAAAAATCCAGTATCTCAAAATATTAGAATATTTCCTGAGATCAATAAAAAAAAAGGATTTACAAAACAGAAAAGTTGTATGTTCATTTATGCACTCAATACTTGGCCGGGGCTCCTTTAGCACAAATGACAGCATCAGTGAGGTGTGGCATGGAAGCTATCAGCCTGTGGCACTGCTGAGGCACTATTGAGCCTTCAGCTCGTCTGTATCGTTGGATCGACTGTTTCTCATCTTTCTCTTGAAAATATCCCATAGATTCCATATGGGGTTCAGGTCAGGCATGTTGGCTGGCCAATCAAGCACAGTAATATCATGGTCAGCAAACCACTTGGAAGTGGTTTTGGCAAGTCCTGCTGGAAAAGGAAATCATCTCCATAAAGCATAAAGCAGATGGAAGCATAAAGTGCTCCAAAATTTCCTGGTAGATGGCTGCATTGACTTTTGGACTTTACATTGACTTTTGGACTTTTTGGATAAAACACAATAGACCAACACCAGCAGACGTCACGGCACCCCAAATTATCACTGACTTCGGAAACATCACACTGGACTTCAAGACTCTAGTCCTTTATTTCCTAATGAAATGCAAAATGTACTTTTATCTGAAAAGAGGACTTTGGACCACTGAACAACACTCTAGTTCTTTTTATCCTTAGCCCAGGTAAGATGCTTCTGACGTTGTTTCTGTTTCAGAAGTGGCTTGGTAGCCCTTTTCCTGAAGACGTCTGAGCGTGGTGACTCTTGATGCACTGACTCCAGCTTCAGTCCACTCCTTGTGAAGCTCTCCCAAGTGTTTGAATCGGCTTTACTTGACAGTATTCTCAAGCTTGTGGTCATCCCTGTTGCTTGTGCACCTTTTCCTACCCAATTTCTTCCTTCCAGTCAACTTTGCATTAAATATGCTTTGATACAGCACTCTGCGAACAGTCACCCCTTTCAGTAATGACCTTCTGTGACTTACCCTCTTTGTAGAGGGTGTCAATGATCGTCTTCTGAACCTTTGCCAAGTCAGCAGTCTTCCCCGTTATTGTGGTTTCAAAGAACAAGAGATATCTCGAGAGATACCGGAATTTATACTGTAGGGATGGTCATTTAATAAAACTCAAATGTAAATATTCAAATATTTTGAGATACTGGATTTTTGACTGTCATGAGCTCTAAGCTCTAATCATAAAAAAAAAAAACCTTTTGAAATGTTTTACTTTACATTAGGGATCCACCGATACCCGATACTGAGCTCCTGTACTCGTACTCGTACTCATTAAAATGCCCCGATACCAAACGCCGATACCACACAGCATGTGATAAGTGCCATATTCAGACAAAGAAACACCGACAACAGACAGCAGAATGGAGTTATTAGAGATTAAAGATGTCTACGAAGTATATGTATGCAATGAATATAAAACATTCAGTATTAATGCCTGTATAGCTGATTTGTGCCAGCTGGTCAGCAAATCACGCTGAGTGGATTGAGCGCGCGGCGGCGCAGATGCGCGAGCTTGTCAAGTGAATATACCTTTCTCACAGACATCACTGGAAAGTTTGTAGTTCGGTTGGATTTGTCAAAAAGATGTAAGTAAAACAATGCACAAGTTACTTAATGGTAGGGAGGGAAGGAGGGAGAGAGAGCGAGAGAGAGCGCACACTTCTGTTGTGTGATCTTTATTGATGTTCGCTCACTTTGCACGCATCATTTGGATTAAAACTAAATCGTAAATATAAGACAATTTATAGGGGCATTCACTATAAACGTCATTTATTTTCACCCTTAAGCATACACGAATTTCTGGCGAAAGTGAAACTAACAGCCTGTGTGAAATGCGCTAGGCTGTACTGTACTTGTCCCTCTCATTCTGCACCAGTACATATACGTGTGCGCTTTGCGCGTGTTTTGCTTGCTTCATGAGTGTTTCTGCATTATATGAGTGGCTTTGGAAAATAAATCGCTGCACGTTTCAGATGAAAAAAACGCAACTTCTATTTATGAAAATATCACAGTTAGGAGATTTATAGCGAGTGGTTCCCTGCATTTTTACAGCAAATCGCATGATTACAGTACTAAGACGCTGCAATGGAGCAGCTCTAATGCTATTTAATTAAATATGATGTAGGCTACCATAGAGAGAAAAAAAATGAACAGTGAAAGTAACAAAAACTTGTAAAATACATTTTAATGGGCATAATTAAGTGTAAAAATAACAGAAAGATATACAGACAAACCAAAAATTATTCAGAGACCAGATATAATTTTTGATATTTTTTTACTAGTATGTAGGACACTATAGTTCATTTATGTAAAGTGAGGATAGCAAAATAAATTAAACTGTGATATATTATACCAAAAAATTCTTCATACAGTCTGGGAAAAAAATTGAAGTTCAGGTTTGCATTAACCTGGTTGACAGCATGCCCAGGAGACTATATGCTGTCATTAAGGCTAAGGGTCACCCGACAAAGTATTGATAGTAGTGTAAATATTGACAGCTGTATGAATAATGCTCAATAAGAAAAGGAATGTGTATTTAGGTACATTAGATTATATATATATATATATATATATTTTAATTATATTGTCATTATATGGATTGGATTGCTCAATAAGAAAAGTGTATTCAAGTACATTAGATTCTTTTTTTCTACTTTCTACTTACAAAAAATAAATAAATACAAATGAAACTATTCCATCCAGTTATGCATTCATATACACACACTTTTGCTGGAAAACGTGGCATATGTTGCAAAATATTATTAATTTGTCTTTTCAAACCACTTTAACTGACTTCCAAGTCACTTCTGTAATTTCAAAACTTTATACTTTTATATGTAAGCCAGCAAGACAACTTTGGTGATACAAAAATTTGCTAAATTCACAATAATCATGTTCAATACAGCACAGAAAAGCAAAGTTTGTGAAGCATAAAAACACACGTGTTACGTACAGTGGCCTTTACAGGGAGTTAGAGACCTTTTAGATGTGTGTAATTAAATGATGACCCTTTCATCAAGTAGCACATAATGAAGACCTTCTCACTGCAGGTTGTTGTAGTAAAAGGAGAAAATTGGCTTTTGCCAGCAGGGTGGACAGAAGCCAAGATAGCATCTGATTGGTATGCACACAGTGTCTCGCTGTGACCACGGTGACATCAAAGACAAATGACTAATTCAGTCGCAACGATTTGATATTGATGAGTCAGCTTTTCAAAGAGAGAAGAGAGAGGCTGAGAGGGAGAGAAGGAACGCTTGATTCTGATGAAGGGTTTGGGTGAAGGTGTGGTGTCCGGCTTTCATCTGCCCACCATCAAACATGGACTTTTCATCCCAGATGAAACCCTAAACACACGGCATACACACGATTATCAAAGTCAGCACTAAAGTAACAGTACAAAGAAGTAATATTCAAAAAAGTGAGCCAACAAAAAGTTGACAGCAGAAAAAAACGAAAAAAAAAAACATTCTCATGACCTGAAGAGGTCAAAAGAAATGCAGCGGCCTTCACCGGGGAACGATTCCGCTACCTGACACCGACAGCAAAGCCATGACTGAGTGATAACTGAGCTCCGCTCACCCGGTTGGTCTCCGAACCGAGTGTCATCCTTTAGGTGCTGATTATAGCAGATCCATGACATGCATGATAACTAATAAGAGCTCAGCACAGGGCTTCAGGGTCAGATACAGTCATATCTCTTTATACAGACGTTCACCCGAAGACTTCCAGACAAAATAAAAGGATGAGCAAATCAGTTACTCTGTATGTGTGAAGATTTTATATTAGCTGTGAGAAAAAGCAACGCATTGGAATCATGCATTGGAAAAGAATCATGAATGCTTGTCATATCTTAGCTATTGTAATTTATATCCGTCTGCTCAAAGCCATTTGTGATGATAAATAGAGTGCTGTCTGGTTTCAGAAGTAGAAAGTCCCATTCTTTTTCTCAACAGAGAAACTGATTTTTAACCGTTCAGTGTAAACATTTCAAGGCAGACTTACCTCGAAAGATATGAGGTTATTAATCAGTGATATTATATATATTTCTTTTGAAACCATCACCCAAAAAAAAAAAAAAAAACACTAGCTAAAATAAAAAGCACTGTGAACGACAAAAATCAAGTCTCCTACAAACTTCTTATATATTAGTGCTGGGCAATGATAAAAATGTTTAATCGCAATTAATTTTCTGTGAGTAATCACATTGTTATGCACAAAATTCAATAATGAATTCGAAAGTAGTGTTTTGCACTTTTTTCATTTAAAATTACTGCTATATGAACAAAAGAGCAATAACATTTGTTTTGCAAACACTTTAAACAAATAAGGTGCTTTTTTACAGTAGTGTTCCTTTTTCATAGTAGCAGTTAAAAATTTTTATGTAAATCTCAACTTAAACATGAATGTAATTCAA